GAGAGAGAGATTATTTGAAAACTTCATTGTTGGATTGCTTATTTAAGTCTTGCGATGGCTAGGCTCCATGGATTGGCATGTGGTTTTGGTTTTATCTTTTCTTCAATTATTCTGTCTTTATATATAGTCATTGTTTATAAATAAAAGGATTATATATTTCATGTCCTCTCTTTGCTGGCATGGACATGTCTGGTTTTTCTGTAGAATTTAAAAATCCAGATAAGACATAATTAGTAAATAAGCCCACGTTGCCTTGCATGGGGCTCATATTATTGACAAGGGAGAGAGACTTGTTAAATTGAATTATTGAACAAGTTAAGTTGACAAATTAGCTTGAAGTAATAGATATCAAATCTACATCGTCCAATTAAAATTGACGTGGTGAACAACGATTTTTATAAAGTTGCACTGGTAACATACCAATATATCCTTCCGAAAGTTTGTTAAATTTTTTCAATGACTTGAAAAAGTAAAAATACCTCCAACTGTAATTTGGGAAGTGCTTTATTGAAAAAATAAAAATAACTCCAACTGTAATTTGGGAAGTGTTCATAAACCATTTGGAACGCAAATATTTGTGGGTATGTTTCCCTTTGCAAAACTTTGTAACAATAACGAGCCCAAATAATAGAACTTGGGCAGCCAGCTTAATGGTGAGGTAGCATAAGGGTGATACATAATACCTAGACATCAAAGAGCCACCTATCTTGCTCGTGAATTATAGCCTTCATGTTCTCAAGCAGTGCACTATTCCTGTCATCTCTCTCTTGGACTGGCTTTCAGGGAACAGCTTAGTATTTCTTCAAGTTTTAGACAGCGATGATATTAGTTGACCAGGGGAGCGAGAAGTATGGGAGATGTCTAGTGTTTCTCTGTGTTGTGAGAGAGATGATGCTGTCCCGGCTAGTCTGTATTGTATGAATCCAGAGAAGCCCCCAAGAGGAAGAAATGGTGAAGAGTAAAAGAATACTTAATCTAAAAAAAATTAAGTATTGCTTTTCATGCATGGTGAAAAGTTTTTCATCTCTATTTTCTTATTTATATGGATTTTATGTATTTTTTCGAGCAGATCAGATGGAACTAGGCTTAAGTTTTGATGGATTTTTTTGCAAATTTCACGTTTTCCTTACTTAAGTTCATTCCTCTAAGGAAATTTGAAATTGTTTTGGAACTTCAGCAAGGAAGGGGGACCACTGTCTTAGTATTGGTCCTGGTGTTTTCTCTGGACTGGGATTTTTTCTTGGGTCTCTCGCTTTTGTAGAAGGTCTTTTAAGCTCTTTCTCAATGAAAAATTTAGAGAGAGATAGAGAGGTGATTAGAACGCCTTTTAAGCTCTTTCCCAGTGAAAAATTTAGAGAAAGACAACTAGAAGGCCTTTTAAGCTTTTTCTCAGTAAAAAATTTATAAAGAGACGGAGAGAGAGGTGATTTGGCTGAGAAGAAATAAAACGTTCTCTTAAGAGGGAGGTGTAAATTGGGGAGATAGAAGAGAATTGTATACTCTGAAAAGAGACAGAGGGTGTAGGGCAATGGGTTACGGGAAGAGGTGGAGAGAGAAGATGTGAAACAACTTGAGAGCTAGAGAGAGAAAGAAAGAAAAAAAAAAAAGGAAAAGTTTAGAAAAGGACAAAGGATATCGGGGTTCTCAGTCCTTTAAGTTTATTTTGTCGTTTACCATCTATATAGATTAACGGTGTACACAGCCGCAGCGCAACTTCAATAAAAAGGGTTGCAGCCAAACTTCAATAAAAAGGTTGCAGTCAAACTTCAATAAAAAAAGGGACTTCAACAAAAATGTTTGCAGCCAAACTTCAATAAAAAGGTTGCAGTCAAACTTCAATAAAAAAAGGGACTTCAACAAAAATGTTTGCAGCCAAATTTCAATAACGGTGTACACAGCCGCAGCCTAAGCCTAATTTCAATAAAAAGGGTTGCAGCCAAACTTCAATAAAAAGGTTGCAGTCAAACTTCAATAAAAAAGTGATTTCAACAAAAATGGTTGCAGCCAAACTTCAATAAAAAGAGCAGCAGCCAAACTTCAATGAAAAAGCACTTCAATAAAAAAGGGTTGCAGCCAAACTTCAATTTCAATAAAAAGGGTACCAGTCAAACTTCAATTTCAATAAAAAGGGTACCAGTCAAACTTCAATAAAAAGGGACTTCAATAAAAAGGGTAGCAGCCAAATTTCAA